TGTGTGTGTGTGTGTGTGTGTGTGTGTGTGTGTGTGTGTGTGTGTTTAAAGTTTATTTTTGAGAAAGAGAGAGACAGAGCACAAGCAGGGGAAGGGCGGAGAGAGAGATAGAGACACAGAATCCGAAGCAGGCTCCAGGCTCTGAGCTGTCAGCACAGAGCCCAACATGGGGCTTGAATCCACAGACCACGAGATCATGACCTGAGCCGAAGTTGGTCGCTCAACCAACTGAGCCACCCAGGCGCCCCCTGGTCTTAGGGTTTAAAGCAGTGGCAGTGTGTTGCTGAGAATCTCCTGTGGAGCGATAGGAAACACGGTACTGATTGTTGTAGTATAAAACGGCACAAGTCATTTAAGCTGATCATCAAGTAATGACAACAAGGACTCAAATGGGGGCTTTCTCTTTGATCCACCAGGAGTTTCAAATGGCAATTATCATTAATTCTTGGATTCCCTCAGTCCTGATAGAAAATCAAGGCAACCAGAAACTATCATTTTGTGAACAGACAGCTATTAAAAGCACATTAATAATCTGTAGTGGGTATAGCATATGCCTTTTAAAAAGATTTGCAGCTTGTTTCTCTGTGGCGAAGACACAGGACTTCTCCAACCTAATTACAAAGCAATCAAACAATTTAATTAATCTGGAAATCACTTTCTTAACAATAACTGCCTCTACAATGAGGCACCCTGTGCAGAACCGTTAGGTAAAGCCCCTATTTGTTATATTGCTTGTATGTTGGCCATTCTAGCCCTCCCCCCAACCCCACCCCCCGGGATCAGAGAGTTAATTACCTACCAAATGCCTGACCACTACTAAGGTTTACTTTACCAGGTCAAAAACATCAGCGGCAATAACAACATCCTATAAAGTGTCCTAGTGCTCAGACATCCAAGAGCCAGCAAATCCCTGGGAGCAGCAGGATTTGAGTTATAAGCAAGTGCTGCACATATGGGCAGAGAATTAACTGGCACCAGTTTTCGCTTGAGAGTCTCTCAGGTATTGCTTTGCAGATGGGGGGATGAATTCAGAGCGCAGTGCTGTGAGGAGTGAAGGTCATGTGTAGGACGCCGGTTTCAGTCCGTCTTGCTTTTTTATCCTGGGGACTCGGTGTGCACATCCCTGGCAGCCTGGTCCTCATTTCATGAGTTAAGAATACATATATAAGATGTGCTTTTTTTGTGTGTTCTAGGTTAGTGGTATTTTGAGCACTGTAAGGCTTTAGAGACTGAGTAGGTAACCTGGAAATCAATTTTTTAAAGTTTGTTTATTTATTTATTTCAAGAGAAAGAGTGCATGCACGACTGAGGGAGGAGCAGAGAGAGGGGAAGAAATCCCAAGCTGACAGCACAGAGCCTGATGTGGGGCTTGAACCCATGAACTGTGTGCTCATGACCTGAGCCGAAATCAAGAGCCAGATGCTTAAGTGACTGAGCCACCCAGAAGCCCCAGAAATCAATTTTTATTCAAATAAGAACACAGGCTTCAAAGTTTGACTCCTACCTTTCTAATCTGCTAATCTTGTTACTTCTCCCTAAGGAACATTGAGGAATATTCTGTAATAACACAGAATAATCTACAGAATACTCATCCGCCCTTTTCATCTCCTAGTAGTACCATGCCACTTCTCTCTCCAAATTCCCTACTAATGGGCAGTCGTTGTCCCACAGTGGGTAGTCAGTCACCCATAGTCTACCCATATTGGAAATGTTTGGTCACTTGTAGTCTGTAATATTTTCATTACTTCATTTCTAGTCCATCACCAATTATGCTAGGTTTGCTCACCAAAATATTTTTTCTGTTGGCCTTTCAGGTCCTAATCTCAGCACCTCAGCTCCTCTTCTTTGGCCACTCCTCTGTCCGCCTAACACATTTATGCCATCTATTGAGACATCTATTGAGGTTAAGACATCTATTGAGGCCCTCCTCTGGTTAATACCAATAAACATAGTTCACAACTCATTGGCTCTACCAGTCTGACTCCCCTACTGCCAGAATATCTGTCTCTACTGCATTGCCCTACTCCCTTTGGGTCGTTTCTGTCTCCTTCCTGAGGTTCTTCCATTTCTTCTCTTGAGCTTCCGGAACCATCTTCAAATGAAGCTGTAGTCTCTTGTCTTTAATGAATTGTCAGATATTGTAGTTCAGGCCACCATCATTTTCTCTAATATCCCATACATTTAAGAGCCTTTGTGTTAGTATGTGGGGGGTGTGTGTGTATACACCTTGGCGCTTAAATCTAGATCTGCCATAAAACAGGAAGAAAGATCTGTTATTAGCAAGATTTTGCAGATGGCTTTGTAGTCTTAAGTTTTGGAATTTGCGTTTGATTTTACAGCAATGTAGTGGATGAGAAGAAAATGAGGAATATTTTCAATCGATTGGCTTAGAAAGGCAGCACAAGATGCAGAGGCAAAACCCGAAGATTGAAAATGGTTAATGGTTGGGGTGCCTGGGTGGCTCAGTTAAGCATCCGACTTCAGCTCAGGTTGTGATCTCACAGTTTGTGGGTTGGAGCCCCGCCTCGGTCCCTGGGCTGACAGCTCAGAGCCTGGATCCTACTTCAGATCCCGTGTCTCCCTCTCTCTCTGCCTCTCCCCCACTCGTCCTCTGCCTTTTTGTCTCTCAAAAATAAATGAACATTAAAGAAAAATAATAGTAAAAACAGAACTATTTAATGGTAGCCTTGATTTTTTTTCATTAAGAGCAGAAAATTAACCTATCTCTTTATATCTCTGTCTCTACCTGCTCATCTTCAAAGTGAGGGGGTTGCCATGTATTGTAGGATGTTACATGGCTTCCTAGGGACCACTCATTAAAATCTCTAAAAGTGAGAAGAATTTTAAGTTAATTCCTTGTTTTTCCCTTCTTTAGATTCTTAAAAATATTTAATAAGCTCTCTCTAGTTCTAGTTGATCTCATTATAATTTCCAGATGTAGTGTTCCCTTTACAAAGAACATGGGGTTAAGAATTTGGTGCCAAGTTTCATTATTTATTCTCAATGAATTGGGTAGCAGAGATTGTTAAACCTCTCATACCTTGGCTTCCAACAATTAACTGTTTTTGTTTTTCCTAATAATTTAGGAAATCTATATGGGGTGTGAGCAAAGTGAACATTTTTTTTCCCCCAAATAAAATCTACACTAAGATTTTTGGCATTAGATTCATTTCTCTTTAGGAAACAAAACTTTTAGCCATGTTGAATTTTTCAAGATCTTTCAAGGCTGTGAAGAGTGATATATAAGCTAAGTTGGGAAGAGATGGGGCAGGGAGAATCAAGGCTGTTGGGAGAAGTTGACGGAACTTAATTTAGCTGTGTAGATAAATGGACGGAAAGAGTCCTGGCTTACTGGATGGCAAAAGCAGAATCCATTTCTCCAGGGGCCCAAGGAACAACAGATGCAAAGACATGATAAATTTCATTGCAGCAGAGGGAAAAATGCTTCTAGATTCTCTGTCCATAAAGAAATGGGCTTTTCAGCGCTTCCTATTCAAATGGCTTTAATTGTGCTGTCTGTCATAAAGTAAATGGCATCTGTTGGAGACATCACCTTAAACTTTGCAACCTTAAGTTAATTGAAAAATTTCAGTAGGGATATAACCAGTCCAGAAGTCCTCAAGGTAACACTAAACTTATCCTCTTTAATGGGTTAGTCTGTTCTTTTTTGCACACAGGTTATAAATTGTTTACAGCTAGGTACTGACTGGAACATGCAATGTTGTATGCCTCACACCTAACTACAGTTGTCACTTCCGTTATAAAATCAGTAATGTGGGAACTGGCTAGCTGTGAAGGATTAAACAGATCTTCCTGATTTATTTTTCGTGTTTCAAGATCGTACAAGCTTAGTTTGCAGCTTTCCCTCACCTCTGTATTTAAACCAGCTACAATTCCATCCGGTCCTCAGATAATTCTGCCAGTCTAATTAAACATGCAGAGGGAAGCCGGGTGGTCTGGAGTGTCCTGAACTGCCCCTCACCAGCTGCCTGCCAAGCTTTCTCAATGATCAGCAGCAGGTTGAGTGTTCTGATGGAGAAAGTAACAAGCCCCCAAGGAGCTGCTCTCTTTACAGTGAGCGGTCTGTGCTCCCCCCTCCCCACACCCCCCACGGAAGGATTTAAGAACACCCCCTGCCAGCCTTTGTGTGATAGTGGCTTTTAAAGCCTGCCTGGCCAGTCACAGCCCAGATGCTTGGGAGCAGGGGGACTGTTGAATAAAATATTGATAAGGGCTAATCCTGCTGGGCCACTTGGGCCATGCTGAGAGCAAGCTAGGTCATTTGGCAGGCGAGAATTCTACCACTGAACCACCCATGCGCCGAGCTGGGTCGTTTGGGAAACAGGTCCAGACTGCTGGGTTCTTCCCAGGATTTTATGATCAGTTCTGACATTTCTACCTTTAAAATATGTACCCTGGAATACAAGGATTCATTTTCCAGAATTCAGACATGTACTCGGTTTCTTTTAATAAAAAAATACTAAGGCTGCTTTTTCTAAAGTAGAGAGCCCCCCCCCACCACACACACACAAGTTGGAGCATACACTTCTACTTCCATCGCCTGTTTAAAATGTTAACATCTGCAAGACTAAGAATCAAGACACGTGTATATACGTTATTCTTTAGTCCTGAAATACTGAGGTTATTAATCTGTGGAAGACTGCTGCTTGGTGATGGGTGAATGTGCTTATTTATATACCTGCGCACTTGGAACGCTGTGCTGGGACTCAAGCCCGTTTGCTCTCCCGCCCCCGGCATACACACACACACCCCCAACCCCCCCAGCCCTGCTGCCAGCAAAACTAAAACATTCTTGGAGATGGACGTTTGACAAAAATGTACAGAAATGCATTACTTGCAAGAAGATGATTCTGGATGTGGGATAGGATTCATGTTGTGATTTTTCCCTCTGTTTCTCTTTACAGGAAACAGCCCTCAAGATAGTCCAAGAAATTTCTCCCCCAGTGCCTCAGCCCATTTCTCATTTGCACGGAGGTAAGGACTTCCTTTGAGTTGAATAGAAAAGTGTTTTGTAGAAGATCCTGTCTCCCGAACCTCACTCTTCCTCATTCCCCACTGTTCCCTCCTGTACCTCTCCCTTCTGCCTGTGTGATCCTACCCATCGTCATATACGGCTTTCTCAGAAGCTCCCTGCCCAAAGATAGCTTTGGACCACTGCAAAACTTTGTTGTAAACACTCCTGCTTTAAAAGTTTAATAATGACACCTGACTCATGCTGGAGTTACGTGGACCTCTCTTGGTCGTTTCCTAGATGGTGGATTCCCATTGAGGGCAAAAAATGACTGTTTCCATTTCTTTCTCTTATCGCTGGTGCAATGCCTTGTGCTTGATGTTCAACAGATTATTACTGAGTTATCTGAGCTTACATTATAAGGATTTGATTGATTTACATGTCCTGGTGCAACTGTTTTTTGTTATTGTTGAAATACTTTTTTTTTTTAAATGACCTTTCTTGGGGTCGCAGAGTATAAAGTCTAAGATGGCTGTTTATGTGAGAAAGTGAAGCCACCAATTTAGTAATCCCCCTATGAACTATAGGACATTTTATGTTTTCTCTTCCTATCTTAGTTAGAATTTGACACCCAAGTATTGAAGATACATGTTATTTCTGGGTCATTCAGTCACAAGAAAGTCTTGTTGTTCAGAGGATCATGAGCATGTGATGTAACATCACACCTTTTTTGTTCTGGATCTTCTACTGGAAAAACACAGAGAACAAAATGCCCCTTCAGCTATAGGTCTCTGAATATTCAGGACAGATTCAGTTTATGGTCTGATTGTCCTGCATATTTGCTCATTTTTCTCAGAGACCTAACTATACCATGAAGTAGATTAACATAGCACTAATAAAGACTTGTGTGTAGGTTTAAAAAAAAAAATGGTTTTAACACATGTTACTAAGCAGCAAAACCTGGAGTGTCCTCACTGCCATTTGTCAGCACGTAATGCATTTACATTACTAAATCCAGAGAAAAGGATCTGTTGGCAGTATTTTCAGAATTCTCTGTAATTAAGATTCCCTTGTAAATGTCACACATTCCCCACTATGTGGTAAATGCCTGTGTGTGTAAGGTTCCAGGCTTCACTGTGGGCAGGACACAAGAGTATAAGACATGCTCTCTAAGGAACTTGAGACCCCCCCCCCCCCCCCGCCTGACTTTTGGCCCTTTTCCAGCTTTTCTTCTTTTAGCAACTTGTTTTAAGCACTTAAAAAAAAATGCGAAAATTAACAGGTCCCGCAAAGCCTGTGTTTGCCCAGTGAATATTAATTCATGATAATGCTGCTACTCTAAGTGGAAAAAAAAAACCTTACAAAAAATTAATAAACAAGAACCCACCATAGCCTTTAAAACATATCTCTTAAAAGAATGCATTTCATCACATTAAGTAGTAAGAAAAATGCAAATCTCATTACAACGTGCATTTAAGCATGACAGAAATCATAGTCTCTTCATCCTGCCTTATTTATAAAAATGAAGAAAACCTGATAATTAAGTGGGTGACTAGAGGATAGGTCAGTTTGGTTTCTATGCTATTTAACAAAATACACAAACCCCCAGGCATATGCTAGTTTTTGACCAGTAAACCTTCAACCATGACACAAGATGAGCACAGAACTCTAGCTCATTTTGCATGAATTTACAGATGAACCTCCCTCTACAGTCTTCAAAAAGTATTAATTTCAATTAAGACATGAGTGATCATCTTTTTAAACTTTTATTCAAGTAAACAATCCTACATTTGCTATAAAAACTCAAATTGGTGTATTTTTATATAACCTCTGGTGTGTCTGTCTTCCATCTTAAAGTTGATTTTTATTAAGGAGACATGGAACTCGTGGGTCTCCATTCCCTTCCATTTGGTATGCATTTTTGAGCCTTTAAGAAATAATACCATTTTTGAGGGTCTCACATTTTATTATTTTGTATATTCAGTTCAGCAGAGAAGAGATTGCTGTGTTTTTTAAAACTATTCTTGAGTGAAGGGATAAAGATCAGGTTTATTAATGTTTTCTCATCTTATATATGTAATAATAACCCACCAGTAGACATCCCCTGTGATGTAATAGTTTAATTTCAGGCTGGAAAATATGACACTCGCTTGCTTTCTGCATCATCTAATACATATATTAAAGGTAAAATTCTCATACTGATTTTTTTTTTTTTACCACTGTGCTAAAAGGCTGAAAATGAGCATTGTAGTATAGTAAACATTTTTATTTTGCTAATAACTGTGATACTGATTTACAATCCATCCGATTACGGAATTAACATTTTTTTTTTCCTGGGTGAGAAGATGGAGGTAATAACATTGTTCTGCCTTTCCCCGAAGGTGTGGGACTTATTTGGGAACTGCTTTTACTTAGGTTGGAAATATGGAGCCCTGAATACATGCCATAGGTGTTTCCTAGTTGGCTTGTTGTTGCTTACCAGAGTAAATCTCAGAATGTATTTGCACAAGCAAATTACTAGAACTCAGCAATTGCCTGCTGAGTTCAGGTCATAAGATGCTTGTTGAGTGCTGGCATAGTTCGGCTTGTTCCAGGATCAACCAGAATGTCAAATGTGTCACTCCAGGTGACTTATAACAATTAAATAAATAAATCTTCTTCCTCTTCATACAATTATAATAGCCAGGTTGATACTGGGACTTTTCATTCTTCATTGTACACTGTATTAATCTAAATTTTTGTGAGTCATGTTGAAATGCTGGGTTTTTGTGCCAATCTTTTTGTATTCTGTGTTCTCATCTGATGTTTTTCGCTTCTTACTTTTTCACTTAGTTTAACATTGAGAGATTTTTACCCACAGGAGAAAAAAAAAAAAAAAGGAAAAGAAAAAAAATTACTCTTTAAAAAAGCCTTGTTGCTTTGGCAAGGATGAAGTCTGTCTTCCGATAACATTTTATTGGTAGCTACTGCAAAGAAAAGACAACATTGTTAGCAGGATCCAAATTGCACTTGTGTGATAGCCTTCTTGAAAAAAGAGGGCATGCTCTCTCTTAAGTACTATATGTAGCGTATATAGTAACAGCTGATGTGCGGTTGTCATGGTAATGAAAACGCAATGGTCTTTTGTGCTCCATTTGAGTAAATAGACACAGAGAACTTGGGGAACTTCGTGAGACATAAATTATTTCTGGTCCGTGGATGCACAGGGTAGTAAGTACAGTCTTGTTTAAACATCTTTTAGTTGTGTATTTTCCAGAGTAAGCAAATGTAATTTATGTTTCAAAACTAATAAGAACATGTCTTTTCTTGGAATTGTTCATTCATGTGAAAGATGCTTATTGATACCTGAGGGAAAGGAGAGTTAATGAATCACAAAACAAAATCATGGTGGGGGAAATGGTGTCCCTCGTTCTTTCCAGAGACTAGATTCTGATAATTGCTATTTTTTTTTAATTTTTTTTTTCAACGTTTATTTATTTTTGGGACGGAGAGAGAGCATGAACGGGGGAGGGGCAGAGAGAGAGGGAGACACAGAAAGGGAAACAGGCTCCAGGCTCTGAGCCATCAGCCCAGAACCCGACGCGGGGCTCGAACTCCCGGACCGCGAGATCGTGACCTGGCTGAAGTCGGACGCTTAACCGACTGCGCCATCCAGGCGCCCCTCTGATAATTGCTATTAAATGGACTGAATAATTCTTTTAAAAATCATATCATTTTTTACTTTTAAAAATAGGAGGTGTTTAAAATATAAAGTACACCATGGAATTTTAAGTCTTCAATAAGTAGCCAAATAAAATAGGACTCACCTGTGTCCATCTTGAGAACCATGTTGTTATAATTATTGTCTTTTTAAACCTTTAACGTTTTTAATTGCTTAAAAATATTTTGAAAGAATGTATGACTTAATTGTTCCCATTCCTTGTATGTGGTATATTTACGAACACTTTATTTTGCTTCTTTTTTTAAAAACAAAACAAAACATACTTGATTCATTTGTACTCCAATCATGGTCACAGAAATGACAGGTAAATTTTACTGAAATTTTAACATTGTAGTATTTCTGTGATTCGTCCCCTTCAATTTCTCCATTTTGTCTTTGTGGACCATTTGCATTTATTGGAGGCAACATCCATGGTAGCCTGTGATTATATTTTCCCTTGAATGTAATTTAGTCTCAGATGTCAGTTTTTTGTTTTTGTTTTTTTTTTACATAAACATCTAACTGTGACATTTCTGAAATTCAAGTCTAGTGCTGTTGAATCCTCTGACTTCAACTTACTGTGAATTGTGTCTGTGGTAAATTTGGTCCGCTCTTATATCTCATTTGGTAAATTGGTATAATCACGCATTACAGAAAGTCTACATATGATATTCCCATCTAAAGAATGCAGTAAGGCTCTTTATAATGTGTGTTTTTCCTGTTTTTCCCTTGGCAAATGTGCATGTGTTTGTTTTCACAGTGGTATATGGTTTTGAAGTCACAGTCTTACTCAGAATAAATAAAGTAATGATTCCAGGAAACCAGAGATTTCAGAAAGTTCGCTTTTGGGTGTTCCCTTGCAATAGTATTGTCTCTGCTGCTTCATTAACTCATCTGAGACCCTTGTAATGACCCTCACTCATCACCAGAATCTACCCCAGAGGTTACCCTACGACCATTTGGAGAGAAGAATCACTCTCTTTAAGGACTCCTGACAGTTTTGCCTCTGTGACGGGGCCACGGTTGTACTCTGTGCATTAGGTTCTGTCGCTAGTGGAGAATTTTCATTCTGCCCCTGCCATCACTGGCCAGAATGGGGAGCATACTCAAAACCTGTGCAAGGGGCTTTGGTTCCAACACTTTATGAAGCCAGGTCATGCCAGAAGGCAGTAACTCTTAAGAGATTCTAAGTATAGGGTCAGTCCCTTTTTTAGTGTGAAAGTAATTTGCTACTTAAGGCTTGAACCAGCCCGGAGCCTCACTAACCCTTCCCTAGATGTGATGAGTAGGACACTTGCCTTGAAAATAAGTGGAGCATCTTTAGGCTGTAATGGAAGTCCCCACAGGCTCTTGTACCTTGCTGGAATTCAGGTACAAATTCCAAAAGATCCATGGCATCGGTTATCAGTTTCCAGCTACGAGTATTTTTCCTCCTCCCTTTCTGTTTTTATTCATTTGAATCTGCTGAGTCTGACCATTGTAATTATCCCTGGTATTCATTTTGTCAAAGTGCGTTAGTGAGAGATCAATAATATGGATCAACCCATTCACTTTCTCCTTGTTTGGGTGTATTGATTCAGTTTAAATAAAAGTCAACCTGCTGTATAATGTTTGTTTACTCTGGTCATTGCTGAACATTTCCTCATCCTCACTGACTGTATTTGTGTCATTCGTTTGGCTGAAAATACTCGGTTTCCCTGGACTTCCCATGCAATGGTACTCCAGTGTTGGCCAAAGCTAATCTCCCTTTCTCACCAGGACTGATGGACGCCGCTGGTCCTTGGCTTCTCTCCCTTCTTCTGGCTATGGGACAAACACCCCCAGCTCCACAGTCTCTGTAAGTGCCTAACTTGTCTCATCCTCCTCACGGCCACACGGCTCTCTTACTCTGTTACATGGGAGATGTTTTCTCTGGGTGTTTCCTGGTAGGAGGGAGAAGATAAATTCTGCATGTCTGCCACTGTGAACGGGTTACTTCTCACTTGATGAGCTGACAAATATAAAAAGGACAAACTCTCTGCTACCAGCTTTTAAACCATGGTGCATAAATTGAGTTAAGTCAGTCTCAGGATCGCAAGTTTGGAGGAGATTGGTAGCTTTCGTTTTAATACCATTTGGTGTAGTTTGTGGGTGGAAATGCAATCTGGTTTTATTGCTTTGGTTCCACACCAGCGATGTCTGTACTGAAAATGCCATTAAACTTTGATGGCCTGGGTCTTATTTTCTTGTGTGTCTTAAATGGAGGGATTTTTGTTTGTTTGTTTGTTTTTGTTGTTTTGTTTCTTTGTTTTTCTCCTCCAAAGAAAAAAAATGGCAAGCCTTAAATGTGTACCTTCTAGGTAAGGTGTTTTTTAAAGGGGAGATTAAAAGAATTTAGTTGTAAGTTAAGACAAGGAGACAAAATGAAACCATGAAGATGGAATAGAGGAAGAAGGATACCCTTGCCCCAAACTGTAACATTTCAACAAGAGCCCTAGCAATTAATGGAAACAATTCAGTAAGTTAGATAGATGCTTTCTCAGGTTAAATTAGTGGTGTTGTGGGATATCTGTCTTTGCCAAGCTTCAGAAGCTGGTGGTCATTTAGAAAGACCAGGTATGTTGTAGGTATTCAGTGAATACCTAATGGAGTGGTCTGAACGCCCTTGAACCAGCCGGAATGTGGACTTGATGATTTCAGATTTCCTTCTAATCTAATACGTTTCCATCTTCATTTTGTCAAAATCTGTGGTCTTTTGTGTAGGGTTTTCCTCCGTGGTTTTGTTGCGGTGGTGCTGGTTATTCACAAACCCCAACACTGTGCTAAGCATATAGATTCAGCCATGTAATAGTACTTGCATTGAAAAGACACTACAATTAAGTTTATAAACTAACTGGTGTCACCACTGCTTTATATTATGTGTTTCCAGAATTCCGTATGTAGTATAATGTGAGTTTTCTGGAACACCTTTAATACTGCCATGTTAAAATCTGATGGATTCTCTTTACCATCTCCTTGGTCATTTTTTGAGGAGAGGTAATTTATTTTCCTATCCTCTGTTCCATTTTGCTGTGGTATGTGAGCTTATTGTCCATTTAGATAATTTTGGTGAAGCGTCCTGACAGTCTTGAGTAGTTTCAGTGACAAGGCTCACATCAGGAAAATGTGCTTCAAATTTGTAAATGGTTTCAGTGGATAAAACTGTCACTAAAAAACAGTGAAGTCACCCTTGGCTGCTGTGTCCATAACCATCAATTTTTTTTTAAGGTTTTTTATTTTTTTTGATAGAGAAAGGAAGGGGGATGCCTGTGAGCAGTGGAGGGACAGAGAGAGAGAGAGAGAGAGAGAGAGAGAGAGAGAGAGAGAATATCCCAAGAAGGCTCCGTGCCATCAGCCCCAAGCCCAGCATGGGGCTTAATCCCATGAACCATGAGATCATGACCTGAACTGAAATTAAGTCAGATGCTCAACTGACTGAGCCACCCAGGTGCTCCTGGTTATTGGTTATTTTAGAGGTTAAAAAGTTGGATAACTCCAGTGTGAAAATGAATGCCAAAACTGATCGACCAAGGAAAAAAAAGGGTAATTAACTGAAATGTAAGTATTGTTCTTCTACAGAATTTTTGGCAAGTCTCTTGTCTCCAAATTCTTCCTTTCAGCTATATGACCTTGCTTTGCCCTTCAGTCAAGTCTTATGATGGTTTGGATGCAGAGATTTGTTGCTTGTAGGAAAAATAGGGGAGAGTGCAAGATCTTTCATCGTTCCATCTGTAGTAAATCATACACCATTTTAAAGAGCAAATCTCTTTAAAAAGGGGGAATTAACATAGAATTGGACCTTGTTTGGTACAAATAAAAAAAACCAGTTGTTTGTAAGCACTTATTACGTGCTGGGCATTAGTCTAACTACTTAGAATGCATTATAATCCTTGTTTAATCCCAGCAACAGACCCTGTCGTATAGTTGATGTTATTCTCTTCATTTTATGGATCAGAAACTTGAGGCACAAAGAATGAACTGAGGGGCTTTAAACAACCCCCTTGTTTATTAGTAAGAATACCTAGTAAATGGTCTAGACTCTGGGCTCATGGCTCTTTTGAAGGAATTTACATGGTGTTTCTTAAAATAAGCCTTTTAATTAATGAACATGACCTGGCCATCTGTCATAATGGAATTAGCACCATCCTTGACTTCCATATGTAGTCTAAAGAAGAAACCACCCGAGACAGTTTATAGTTACACACACACACACACACGCACACGCACACGCACACGCACACGCACACACTCACACTCACACTCACACACACATGCTCTTTCTGTTTCTAACCAACAGCTTCCAACCAGAGGTAACACAGTTTTTCTCTTACATGTTTATTAAAGAAGGTGGCACATATAATTATTAACCTCATATTCCCAATTTTTCTTTCAAGATAGAATTTTAACTTTCAAAATTACTTTTTGCCAAACGATGTAAGGAACTGTTAAATCTGTGAAGTGTAGGTTTTGCACACCTAACATAAGTTCAATTATCTCTTTTCCCTATTGTTGATAAAAGTAATGAGTGAAGATTTGACAAGCTCTTTTTCATTTCTCTTATTTTGGGGGGGGGGGCTTGTCCTTTAAATTTTGGGGCAAAAATTGTGCAAAACTGCTTAGTAGTTTCATTTCCTTTTCTTTCTTTTTTTTTCAAAATATGTATTTACTTCATTGTTAAATAATCTCTGTACCTAGTGTGGGGTTGGAACTCATGACCCTGGGATCAAAAGTTGTATACTCTGCTGACTGAACCAGCCAGGTGCCCCTCTTCTTTTCTAAATCTGATCCGAGTCTCTCTCAGATTTTCACTTTCTGGGTTAACTGTTAGTCACTTAGTCAATCAGAAATGCACTTTAGTTATTGTTTTGAATAGGAAGATAGAACACAAAATTACACTTTGAACATATAGCTTCAGTTTGACATATGATTGTGTTGTTAGCTGAATTCCAGAACTACTTAAGCTGAAGTGTAAACATCAAATCTTTATCCTTTGGGTATTATAGCAACTGTAAAACTGGCAAGTGTTAAAAATGCTGTATTCTGAAATTGAAAAGATTTGGTCATAGGAAATTAATCAGTCCTTCCAGAGAATATTTAGTATTGTAACTTCTTTTAACTTCCAATTTTGCCATTAAAATTAATTTGTGGAACTTTTCCAAGATAATATTAAGATCATAAGTTTTAATTTTAAAATAAGTAATAGGGAACCACAGCAGTAGGAAGACATTCCCCCATATATTTAACAGATAAATCATTTTCTACAGAAGGGAAAGAACGGAAATAAGAATATAAATACCTGTAAATATATGAGGTATGACTATAAAATGGTATTCCTTTTAATAAATAACAAGTAAAAAATGACACATGCTTATGAATAGTGTCCTTTGCAAAACGGTTATCTGGAGAGACGAAATGATACCATTATTCAGAACATTTTGGGGGAAGTCTTCTGCAGCTTTTTTATGTAACTCGTTACTCTTGGAAAGTAGGTTTGATTTAGGACACTGCTAAAGTCATACGCAAACTAATTGGGTGATGAGACCCACTGATACCACATTTAGAGAATATGCGAGAAATACAAAGTGATGAGACACAGTATATTGGGAAACCCCCAGACAAATGATTGAAGCTCTCCTCACAGCAGTGCCCCCCCGGGTTGCTTAGACCAGTGGAGGCATCTTTTCAACAAAGTGTGCAATCTTGAGAGTGGCCTCTGCGTCTCTGCTGTCCTGCAGCTCTCACTGACTTTGAAAGTTCTCCACTGAGCGAGTCCCTGGTCTCTGCCGAAACCTATCCTTGGACTTGTCCGTTGTCAAGTATCAACTCCCTTTTAGGGCTGTATTTGGTATCTTTGGAACCCCTGGGGCCATTTTGCTGGCCTACGGTTGTCCCCACTGCCATAAACCCATCCTGTGTCACTTGGATTTGGTGATACCCTCGTCCCATTTGGACACTGCTGTTCCACCTGAGATGAAACAGGCTTTCTTCCCGGAGGACCTCCCTCCCTCGTCACTTTCTTAATAGTGTTAAGGTTATAACCCTCACTCACGCCACCGCATCGTTCATTTTGCCATATTCTGTAAACCCAGGGCACATAACTTACGGAGTTCAGCTCGGTGGCTGGGTATTTGATATGACCACAAGATTTTCCTCTCAGAGTCAACACTTGTTAACAGCTTGTTACATTTGCTATGGCTATTTTTAAAATAAATTGTTATTTTGTTTAATAAATGTTAAAGATACAAAGAAAGCCTTTCCCATCCAATCCCTTTCTCCTCCTTGCCTCCCCAGAGGGAATTAACTCTCCTGAAGTTGATTTGTGTGGTTTCCATGCAAGTACAGGCCCTAGATACTTTATGTGAAACTCTGGAGCCCAGTGAGTCTTGGAATTAATTTTCATGTTTTAGAAAGGTAGCATGATCCCTGTGCTGTACACAGCAGCCCAACAGCACCTGGCCAGCAGTGCATAATCAAATATATTAATATTTCTGCAGCAGCCTTGAATGAACAGTCACACTAAGTGGATTAAATACATATTTTAAATAGCTTTCCAATCAGTCCGGTCGATGCTGTGCCATCACAAGGATTACTGTAAACTTATGAATAACCTTCAGGGTTTTAGGGTTTTGAAATCTTGGATACAGAATTGCGCAGATCGATTTACCTCTGAGACCTGTGTATAGATTTTTAATTCTCTTTTTTTATTTGCTACTTTCCTTATCTTCACTTTATCATTAGTGCATCTCTCCTGCTTGCAGTGATTTCATAATTCTTTTCCTGATTGTTGGAGTTGATTTGGTTTGTGTTTTATTTGTTTCTTCCTACTGAAAAGTGTTTAAGACTGTGCCTGTTCTTTCTGAGTGGAGATTTGGTTTATCTCATTACTCTTTCTAGTAGCGTTCTCATTTTTATGGCTTACAAAACAGTCTCATTGCATTATAAAAATTCCTCTTTGTCTCAGTATGTACTTATAAGGTGTTTTATAATTTCAAGGTATGAGGGCATTTTTAAGCTTTAGTCATTAATTTCTAGGGTTGCTTCAGTGTTTATGAAGTGTATTATTAACCTAATGACAGGTTTAAAAAAAAACCTGCTAGAACTGAGATTTCAAATGAGTGTTACCTTTACAAATATGCTTATTCTAATCATGGTTCTGTTGCTCAAAAACTTCTCCATTTTGTTTTGTTTTGTTTTGTTTTGCTTTGCTTTGTTTTGAGAAGTGCTTGTAGAGTTTACCTCTCAGGAAAAACAAAAAGAAAAGTCTGTTTTCTTTAGAGTTAAAATTCTCATATTGATTAAAAACTGTTCTTTAGCTATTCACTTTTTCTACATTACGTTGTCCTCATAACTATTGAGTGACGTTCTTCAAAAAGCAAATCTGTATGCAAGGGACTAAAAAAACTCACCACTACTGAAGCTACTTTAACATGTTTGTTTTGTAACAAACAAAAAAACGTGTCAGCCAGAGAAAAAAGGGCAGAGAAATCTGATTTTTAAAACAATGACATTGGTGAGAAAAATACATTCTTCATCTCTTCCCCTTTTTACGCAGGGCACATATTGATGTGTCAAAGGGCAGCATGCTTTGTAAAGGAAGGTCTCTCATTACTTTATTTGTGATCACACATCCTAACATTCATTTTATGTTATTCACCTGAAAGTCACAGTGTTTGATTGTGAGTAGCGGTAGGAGCGAGGTACCATACTCAGTTGAGAACTAATCTGTCATTTCATGCGCCCAGGTTCTCTGGTTGTCACTTTCTTACAGTGGCTTTGAGTGGATCCTGCCCATTTTCAGAGCCTGAGTTTCCTACAAGAGAGGAAGCTATCTTCTGGGAAATGGTCTTATAAACAGCTGAGATGAAATATAGAAGGCATTTTGACCTCTCAGAGAAAGCAACAAGGGTACACATTTAGACACTAATTATTATAGTTCTAACATGAAAAGGCAATAGTATGAAATGGTGATGTCCCTCCCCTAGGTTCACTGCTTTGCTCGCAGATTCACTTGTCTTTCTTTCTGAGGTGGTCTCCTAACCTCACTGTGGTTTCTCGTAGTCCTCCTCTTCCTCCCAGGAGAAGCTGCATCAGTTACCATACCAACCAACGCCAGATGAATTGCACTTCCTGTCAAAACATTTTTGTACTACTGAAAGCATTGCCACGGAAAACAGATGCAGGAACACCCCCATGCGCCCCCGTTCTCGAAGTCTGAGGTGTGTGGACCTGATTAAAAAATGTTACTTAACTGGATTATCTGTTTTTAACCATTTCTAGGGAAGCCTTTGGGTGGTCCCATTCATCTCAGTGTTAACTGATTTGTGAACTTCTCTAAATAGAGAGTGATTTTCCCATCTCTACGTGATGTTGTTAATTACCACTGAAAGGCATCTTACTGTTTTCCTTTCAATTTCTCTCAATTTGCTAATTGCTATAGTAGCAGTAATCATGATGGACCAAAGGGACCTCCTATAAAGCCTTCTTGCCATTGGAAATTCCAAGACAATCTAATTGTGGTGTAGGAGCACTTAATGCTCTTATTTTAGGAGAGTTAAGCTTGGCTAAAAAGGAAGGACAGCAAAAATAGAAGGATTTTCGTTCAGATTCCACATTATAAAAGTTCACCCCTATTTTTCATTTTTTCTTCACATCATGAGTTTTACTTTTTTCCAGGAACATGAATGCATTGTTAGGAGTTTGTCTCCCTTGAATTTTGACATTTGGTATCTCTTACAGTTTTGTTTTTTAGGAAGCAGACTCTAAAACAGATTTGTGTTCAGGATGCTTAGTAGGGAGTGCTCAGGATTTATACTTGTAGAAAGAAGGCAGGCAAGCAAAATGGGGCAGAGGCAAATGAAGCCGTCACACAGCTGACTCCACACGGGACTCCGGGGATGGCATGACCTGTCAGAGTTGTGCTTCTGGGCCAAGTGGCCTTTTTTTTTTTTTTTTTTTTTTTATCCCTACCTCAGTCCCTGGGTGCAGCACCCTGGCAAGGACGTGGCTTGGATGGGGTGGCTGCGTCTGAGGCCATCTTTGAAGGGATTGATGGCTGAAGGCTTCTACAGTCCCAGCAGCCGGGTGACAGGTCCTTCTCTGCTGGACGCTCAAGGCAGTTTGTCTCCATGGTGTGATATCTTGACGCTAGAGTCGGAATACTTTCCTGTTTAAGATTTTATTATGAAAATAGTTTGTCAGGTGTTCAGTTGAACATCTGAGTTTCCTGAGGAGGGTTTTCCCCTTTGTATTTTTTTCAAAGTAAGCTCTACACCCAACATGGGGTTCTAATTCAAAACCCTAAAACCAAGAGTCCTATGCTTTATTGACCAAGCCAGCCAGGTACCCTCCCCCCGCTTTGTAGTTTTTTTATTTAGCATCATAAACTGATAGTAAATGTAGCCACGCTGAATAATTTGGGAATGAGTTATTATTTTGAGTTAGGGAATAAAAGACCAATTTTACAAATTCATTTAAAGGCGTTGTATTTTACCACATGGGTGCCCATTTTATGATTTTATGAAAGGAGCTCCTTGGGTATCTGGTGCAAGCTATGTTCTCCCTGGAATGTAAATACTCGCACTGACGTTGCACGACTGTATACCACGAGGAACAAACACGAACTGCTGTTGAAATAATGAAAGCGCACAACAGTTCTCTGCCTCTCTTTCATATTGTCCAAAGTGCTTACCTCAGCATCCCAAATAGGTATTTGCTAGGCCAGAAAATGGATTTCAGTGTCGACACCTGTGCCACAGAAGACTCTGAGACCTTTTCAGTGGTACACGGCAGAGCTCAGGTGTACAATAAAAGTGTGAAATTACCCTGTTCGTTGTGTCCTAGATGTTGCTGTTCGTAATGATCCTATTTTGTTTTATATTGCAATTCATTAATTGGTTTCCAGAACGACACAAATGCATCCTACATACAGAATATAAGCTCAATTTAAGAACGTTTCTGAACTAGTTTTGCATCGTAGCTGTAATTATTTTGTGGCATTCCATTTCTTAGGCTTCCTTTCTGAAATCCTCTCCAGGGTGTCACCATGTGTGGGTATGTATGTACGTACTAATGACTGATTTTGTAGTTTATCGCCTAATATACTTCTCTTACGAAGGTTGTATAGTCCTTTTGATCCAACCAATTGTTTATAAATAAAAAGCTTATTTTCATTTCATGCTGAGGCAAGTTTAAAAGGGTAATTTGCTTTGCTTGCAGCCCCGGACGTTCTCCCGCCTGCTGTGACCATGAAATAATTATGATGAACCATGTCTACAAAGAAAGGTTCCCAAAGGTAATGAATTGAATCGAAGATGCCTAGCATCAACGAACAGGCAACCTGGGTGTAGCATGTGTAAGGTGGTTTTGTTACGGGAAGCAATGGTCCAGTCTAGTAGTAACGAGCTGGGCTTGTGTAAAACAGCACCATAGCTTCTGAAAAAGGTAAAATCACTCAACATTTTTAAAAAATGGCTGAGGACTAGCCATATTTGCTGTGTGCTGAGCTGCCTCTAAAATGAATCCTGCCGCTTGTCCCACCCACTGGGTGGGCCTGATGAGGCACCCCAGGGAGAATGAGCCTCTAGACCCTCATGTTCCCTCTGCCCTAATCTGGGCCCTGTTGCTGAATCCTCAGGCAGCAACTGTTTTACTTCGTTAGAAACCTATAGAGTAGTATGTGGTAACTGTCTTTTGTTTTGTTTGTTTGTTTTTGAGAGAGAGAGAGAGAGAGAGAGAGAGAGAGAGAGAGAATATTCCAAGCAGGCTCCACGCTGTCAGCCCAGAGCTCTTGTAGGGCTTGAGCCCACGAACCGTGGGATCATGACCTGAGCCAAAATTGAGTCGGACGTTTAACTGAGCCATGGAGGTGCCCCAACCTCATTTTTCTTTTCTGGGACTTCCTATCTCTTGAGCAAGTTGATGTCTTCCCCTATTAATTTAGAAGGGAGGGTACAGTTGCAGTGTTCCCCACTGGGCTTGCAAAAGGAATTCGAATTGAGCCAGGGAGGACTTGTCGAAGAGTTGTTGCCAGACGTCCTGGCTGCAAAAGCCTGCTGTTTGATAGTTCCTGTCACCTAGTATCCACGGCCTTTGCACTAGTATTCCTGCACATTTGGGAGAAGACTGTCTTTCCATTGTGTTCCTGTTCCTCCCCCACTACTTGTGTAGCCCCAGGCAAGAAAACGAAAGGAAATCTCTGGTTTCATAAATCAGTAGCAAAATGCTTATTATTTGCAATGAACCCGACATTGATGTCATTGATTAAAGCTGTCTTAGCTATTAATTACATGTCACTTGTTCACCGGGGAAATGGGTCCTGACTCACGTAGTTAATGCTAGTTAGGATTTTAGAAGGGGAGCAGGAGGCCAAGAGAAACCCCCGCCCCCTCATAGACAATATAAGCAAAGGATACTGATTAGGCAGTAGGGCGTCACAGAATGAAATGAAAGTTGGAAAGGGAATTTTCTATTTATCCTACCTAGGGAATCTCCTTGGCTTTTTACATGTGATACAGCTTTTTGAGAGAAGGATAAGGATAATATAAGATGCTTGTTCCTGGTACATTATAACCTATTGAACAAAACAACTCTTGCCTATCCTGTGGAATTCTATCAGTAGTCTGAGTTTTGAATAGGTAAAACATAACCTGATATTTTTGAGCATCCATCTGAAAGAAATAGCCCAAGATCTAAAACGAAAGCATGACAATTCACGGTATTGTTTGACTTGCAGAAGCCTTTATAGACCATCTTATATTTGATAGGACAGAAAAAATAATTATCACCCTAGGGTAGTCAGTTTCCCTTGTATACCTCAAATCTTTCTTCCATGTGATGAGGCTGCTGTTGCTGCTTTAAAAAAAAATAGATTTCTTTTTTCACAACAGTTTTAGGATCACATCAGAATTGAACAGAAAGTACCAAGAATTCCTGTATACTCTGATGCCCCCCCCAGCCCCCCTCACCGACATTCACACCCTCCTTCCTTCAGCATCCCTCACCAGTTAAGAGTCGATGAACCTGCAGTGACACATCATCATCACCCAGAGTCCATAGTTAACATTAAGGTTCACTCCCGGTGGTGCGTATTATGTGGGTTTTGACAAGTATGTAATGATGTTATGTATATACACCAGTAGTTTCTAGAAACTAACAATTTGTGGAGGTGTCTGGAGATGCTCACTAAACGTGATGATTGAATTGTCCACTTGTGTGTTTTGTCGTCTTACATATGTGTGTGCGTGTCTTCTCTAAATAGGCCACGGCTCAGATGGAAGAACGTCTGAAGGAAATAATCACCAGCTACTCTCCTGACCACGTTCTTCCTCTAGCAGATGGAGTGCTCAGTTTCACTCACCATCAGATTATTGAACTGGCTCGAGATTGCTTGGATAAATCCCGCCAGGGTCTCATCACCTCACGATACTTCCTTGAATTACAACACAAATTAGATAAATTGCTGCAAGAGGTATGAACCACCATATAAAGTTTTCGGATTTGTTTTGCTTTTCCCCTGAAAAAAGAAAAATTTCATGAGTGCATTTGCTTACACATTGTAACCATGAGGTAGAGTTCATATTCCAGGGAAGCAAAGAAGAAAAAACTGATTGCTACTTGCTATAAATTGATTCTCGTCATCATTTATAGTAGTAATAGAAAGTTAATGTAATAACCTTTACAGGAACCTTGGGACCCAACAATCTATGGCTCTGGGATAAGTGGATTGTAAGGGATTTTCAGGCAGTGATTTTCCCCCCACCCCCACCCATAAAGTTATAAATTGCCTGAGTGCATGTGTGTTATTTGATGATGCTATCTAGTTCTAATATCTGGAAAAGCTAAATGGAAAATTGCTGGCTCCTTCCAGGCCATGTGTCCTATTAATTAACCTGCACATGGTATTGGGTAGTAAATGGCAACTTAAATTCTCATTAGTGTCAGTTCCTCTTCTAACAAAATATCCAATTTCCAAAAGACAGATAAACACAGGTACCTGTCTAGGTCTAATACTTGAATGCGTAGCTCCTGATAACACCCAGGGCAGGAAGGAATGTGTATGGTAGAATGGAATTAATGCGTATAGTGCTCTTGTGACTGAAATTGATCAGCCACAGCCTACAAGTAAAACCTATTTCGTCTCTGTATTTAGATATATTGTATTTCTCTACCCCATAGGGCATAAGTTATGCCCATGTCAGCAAAAACCATAGATTGTTTTTCTAAGCATGAATATGTAAATAATTGCATGGAATTGGAAGAAAATATTAGCATCCTAGTTTTCTAGAAATTCATCTGTATTTGCCCCTACTGAATTGAGTTCTAGCAAGATGAGAAGATGCCTCTCTGACTAGAAGTCACTATTTTTCTTTCCCATCCAGACATCCCAACAGAGTTTTCTGTACTCTGTGCCCATTTCTCATATTTCACCCTATTGTAGTTCATTAAGGCAGTGTTTCTCAGAGTGTTTTAGGGGGCTGAATACCTTGTTTTTGTTTTTCATTGTTAATTTCCAATTTGTCTTGCACTAATTCTCCAATGAATTAAAATGAAAATAAATTTATAGGAACATGCATTTGGGTGTGCAAGAAATGTTAAAAATGTAAGAGCTGCTAAATGCTTGCACTCACTTATTGTACCCATGTCATCACAGATTGGTAATAGCTCAGGGACCAGTCCCAGCAGAGGTGTCTGTGTGAGCAGGGATTTTGTCTGTTTTGTTCATCTAGTGTGGTGTCTAGCATATAGAAGAACTCTTGAATGAATGGCTTCTGACCTCCCCTCATTTAACTCACTGAAGTCCACTGTCCTCTTTACTATCTTGTCCTCTGGACATTTTACTGGAACAGTTCTCTTTTACTGGCATATTATTATATTCAGCAATATTAATATCTTCCTTTTCTCTCTTCGTAACACCCCTCCTTTTCAATTCTTCTTCTGTTGTTGTTGTTTATTTATTTTGAGAGAGAGTAAGGAAGGAGCACAGGGAGGGTGAGGGAATCCCAAGCAGGCTCCATACTGTCAGCACAGAGACCGACAGGGGGCTCGAACACACAGACCATGAGATCATCACCTCAGATTTCACCTGACCTGAAATCAAAAGTCAGAAGCTCAACATACCGAGCCACCCAAGAGCCCCAAGATACTTTTAGTGCTTGTGTTTTTTCTCTGCTTCTTCCAAGAGCTCTTCCTCTAACTTGTGTTTTCTGAAAGTTAGTTTTCCCATCATCTGATTTGTGGCCCACTGCTCCTCCCTCTGTTCTGGTGGTCTTGTTGGCTCTCTTAAAGACCGATGTACTCTAATAGCTTCCTGTTTGTATCTCCGACCAGCAGCTCTTAGCTTTCAGATTCATGTGTCTGCCTGGCTAATGAGTATCTTTCCACGTGGACAGTTCACTGAGACCGTAGTCCTGACTCCCAAATTCATAATTCTCTGTGGCTGTAAGAACATTTATCTAATAACATTCCTCACTGGCTCCTTTCTGCCTATAAGTAAAAACCCTAAGATGGCACATTGACCCTAGTGCAGTTTCATGCTCTGTTTTGGGTTTTCAAAGAGGGCTCTTTGAAGAACATGGATCACATCCCAATCGTCTTCCACCCCCTGGTGCCTAGCACTGTGGCTGATACTTGCTTCCTCAATAACTATGGAAGGAAGGGAAGGAGGGAAGGAAAAAGAAGATATGTATATATGCATGTCAAATGCTTGATTCATTACAATTTATTGTCAAATAATTCACTTCTGCTGTTCCTTTTAATCACACAGCTCCCCCCAAAAAGGCTAGGAACGCAATGCATATTACTTGCTATGAGAATATCTTGAAAATGATATTTGTTAAATGGTGCGTTTTGAAACAGAAGAGGCAGATAAGAGAGTAACTCTGTAGTCAGTCTCTGTGAGATGCTCCTTCCTTAATTCCACGGTTCTGTCCCAGGATGTTACCATAATTACTAGTTTAGTCCTGTGTTTTTCTTTCCTTCAGAGGCTTTCCCTGAAAGGGATAGAATCAATATCCAAAGCTGTTTACGTTGAAATCCTGCCACCCCCTTCCCCCCCCACACACACACACATTTAATTTTGTTTCTGTCTAATAGACCTGGCAGATTGTTTCATGGCAATTACAAAAAGAAAATTTTGGGTTTCAAAAATCATCTGAATATGCCATATAGCATAATATAATTGTTGATATTTAGAGAAATTTGTCTTCTGCGCAGAGAAACGTGTTTACTTGTGGTATGAAGAGCATTGTTGGGTTGTCTTATTTATCTTCACGGATAAACGTTTTCTTCAGTCCTTGTGTGAAACTTAAAACTGTCTTCAGAATGACATTGACAGTGTCCTTCCAGAGTTTGGAGCTAAAGAGTCACAGGGAAGCTTGTGCCTTTCAGATGGAGTCCTTATTGTGGGAATTTCCTTTACCTTCCACAGGATGCAATTGTTGTTAGTTCCCAGCTGTGACTTTGTGTGCCTGGTATCTCCTGGCCGCTTTCCCCATTGTCAGTCTTTTGTAGACCCAGGCAAGGTCCCCCTGTGGCTTTGAGCAGGTTGATTCAACTGATGGCTTTTTAAAGTCCTGAGGTCTAGGTCTGTTCCAGATGAAATGCTTGATGTCTCCATTTGTTTTCTCACTTAGGTGTATTTAGCCAAAGAAAATAATATCCATAGGAAACTATAACCTACTTTCAAATATGGGTCTTAGTATTTTTTGTAGCGGCCAATACTTAAAATATAAACACAGGGTACCCATTAGTGTTGGTGCTTGCTCTTGGCAGCCTGGAAACTTTCTTCTCATGCTGTGTGATTTTGTTTGGTGTTGTCTTAACAGAATTCCTCCCTCCCCAATAATGTTAGTATATAAAATATTATTTGAGTTAATACAACCCCTTGTATGTTCTGGCTTTGGTTATAGCTGATAATTCTTAGAAGTAAGAAGTAGGAATGAACTGATTATTTTTAGTTTAAAAAAAATTTTTTTAAGGTTTATTCTTGAGAGAGAGAGCACGAGTGAGCGCGAGTGGGGGGGGGGGGGTCGGC